AACATGTGGTCGGGCATTATCTTGTTAGAAAGTTGGATCTGCCAGGGTGTCAAGATAGGGTAAAAGATGGGGTTCTAGAACTTCGTGGATATAACGCTGCGCGTTCATGTTACCTCTGACGAAGATTAAAGGTGACCTGGAACCATAAGCTATAGCACCCCAAACCATAACTCCAACAGTGTGATGAACATGTCTTTCAACAAAAAACTGTGGATTCCTCCTTTCACCACTTAGCCTTCTAACCCTGGCACGACCATCGTGCATGCCTAAACAAAATCGAGACTCGTCACTAAAGACAATACTGTTCCATTCCTGATCCCAGAGTGACCGTTGTCTGCACCACTCAAGGCGATTACGTTGGTGTTCTCGAGTTAAAGGGAGGACCCAGTGTGGCCGGTATGAAAACAAGCCAAAACTTCTCATTCGTCGGTAAACACTTCGCATGCCAATAGGTCTTCCGTGTTCTGCAAACCATTCATTTGCAATGGACCTGGTAGTGGAGAAATGGTCCCTTAAGGCCAATAATCTTAGGCGGCGATCTTCACGGTCTGTTGTTCTACGGCGGCGTCCAGTGCCCCTTGCTCTTTGCGTACGGCCTTCTCGAAGCCATGCCTGACAACACCTAACCGCAGTATCTACACTTCTTTTCACTCTAACTGCAATTGCCCGAAAAGAAAGTCCAGCTTCCCGAAGTCCCACTATACGGCCCCTATCAAACTCACTAAGTTGACGAAATCGTACAGATCTTCGTACTCTAGGCATCGTAACCGATCGTAAAGGATGTCAAGAACCAAAATCCGCCAACGTTGATTCTTTACTGCGGCTGAAATATTCATTTTTAGAGAGTTAGTGAATTAAAAAAAACGCAGTATAAAAACCGGAATGTCCAACTGATAAGGCTGAAAATTTTTTCACTTGTTATTTACAGTAAGATAAATACATTCACCAACTTTTATTAAAATAAAACCATTTAAACTGGGTGTTCGGATTTATATGTCACTTAGTATAAATGCATCGCGTCCCGAATTCTCACTCTATCAGACGCTTTCTTCAAATCTATCAGGCACAAATATGCTGGTTTGTTGTATTCCAGCGACTTTTCTTTTATTTGTCTTATTACCAAAACTGCATCCGTGCATGATCTTCCTGTCCGAAATCCTTGCTGTTCCTCTTGCAGAGTTATTCGTTCGTTTATTTTTGTCGCTATTATTCTCGTTGTCAATTTGAGTGTTGTATTTAACAGATTTATTGCTCGATAATCATTGGCGTCTTTCTTATCTCCTTTCTTGAAGAACATCAGCATGATCGCTCTCCACCAATCATCTGGTATTCTGTTCGTGGAGATTATTTTTTGAATAAGGAGTTGCAGTTGTTGAACAAGGTAATCACCTGCATATTTTAAGAGTTAATTTGGTATTTGATCTTCTCCTGGTGACTTTCTATTTTTTAATTTATTTATTCCTTGTTTTACAACTTCTTGGGAGATTTCGGTCTTTTCATCAGTTATTATATTTGGCGTTTCTGGTAAAGATTCTTCGTTTTCTTTTTTAAACATTTCTGTCAGGAAGACCACCCATGTATCATATTTTGTGTTCTATTTCAACTAGTTCTTTCATTTTGCTTCTTCGTTGTCTTATGAAGCGCCATACTTGTTTCTGTTGTCTATAGAACTCCATATCTAGTCCTTTTGTGAATCTTACCCAGTAATTTGTTTTTGTTTTTCTTACTAATTGATGAGTTTCAGTACTTATTCTTTTATATTCTTCATATGATTCATTGGTTTTATCTGACTTATATTTTCGGAAAGATTTCTTTTTTGGGTTTCATTTATGTTTATCCTCTAGTGTAAACCATGTTGTTTTCGTTGACCACTTTTTGTTTTTGTTTATTATTTTCGTTCCAAGGGCTTCTCGGGCAGCGTCCAGAATATTTTTCTTAAGTTTTCTTCATCTCGTTTCTACATTGCTTTTCTCAGCGAAAGATAGTAAATAGGTAAGTTAACTGACATATTTTTCTCAAATCACCTGATAAACTGATATTTGTCTTAGTCTTTCATCGTGACCAACTTAGCTAATTAGTTAATGTATTTGACTAATAACAGCCAACCTGTTACAGAGCCTGGACGTGAAGTTGTCATACAATTTACTTAATCACTGTATTGTAAAACTGGAAATGACAAAATTCTAGAATTTGTTCACTGTGTACTTTTTCTAGCGTTTGTAATTGTGCAACTGAACGGATAATAATATGGAAAATACGCCAACACATATTATAAATGATCCGTCCGACATGCTGGTGTATTATTAAATCAATAAATGTTTGGCCCGCAGTTTGCACATTCCATTCAGGAAATGCAGGTTTAATCTTAATCCCGGTCGAATTGAATCCCAAATACATTAAAAGGCGGGATTTGATGGTTCAAAATGTATTTTTCGTTCTCATATCGTTCCTGTTCTATATTGATTCAATTAAAAACTACAAAATGGAACTGGACGCATCGCCGAGAACTAATCCACGTCTTTTATTCAATTTTTAATTGAAAGCTATTTCGGAAACGACCTGGCTACCAATATATCCTCTTTCGTTTTCGATTTTGAGCTCTGGTCGCACCATTTGTAAACTCTTATTCATACTAGGATTTACAGTAAAACGGTATATTTGTCTCCCAATATCTATTACGAAAACACTCTCGGCCATGAGCGCGATTGATGTCATTTGCATTGTTAGTTTTGTCCAGCGAGGTATAAGCCATATACAAGGACTTATAGATATATAGAGAGCTACATGGAATTTAAAAATAAGGTTTTTAAATATTTAAATCACGCTTGCCAGAGGAAGGTGACTAGAAAACAAGAGATCTACAAGCTTTTTTAAATATTTTTCTTGACTACTAGCTAGCGAACCCATCCGTTTTTCTGATTATACTTCTCTGAACATATAGAGTCGATAGCCGGTAGTTTTGTGCATCTCTGTACAAGTAACAAGCGGAGATTTGCATTAGTGCTGTGAGCTGGTTCAGATAAAACTGAGATTTATGGGAATTTTTATCGTTTTAAAAGCCGGTAGGATTTACGGTGTACGAAGCTTACTGTCGAATTTCCTTCTTGATACGAGCAGATGCAGAAGTAGCTAAATTTTCTGCTTCGCTTTATTTATCTGAGTATCGATGCTGGTGCAGCCAGTTCCTTAATGCTACTGAATAAAGTTATTACGATTAAGCAGATCAAAGATTTATATTATTCGTTCGCCATTACGAACTCGATAACCGGAGCGAAGATTCTAAAAGTTTAAAATATCCCATTCAGTCGGTTGTTTAGCACTGCTGCTTTTTTAAGAGGAATATTTCCGTATGTTGACTTTGTTAAATAAGCTAATTTTCTTTATTGTATCTTTATGTAATTAAAAAATGACGACAAGTCGGACTTAAAAGGCGTGAAAGCAAGTCTTTGGGGGGCACCAGGTGCAATTCCGGGGGTGCTCTCTGAAACCTATGGTTATGTACAAGAGGAAAGACTTCGGGGCAGGACAGAATAGAATTCCCTATAAAGGGTGGTGAAATATGCGAGGTTTGGGCTGGAAGAGCGGATGACAGCAGAGTGTAGAAGTAGCTTCAAAGTGTTTAGAGGCTGAACAGCCCGATGATTGCTCGATTGAGAGGGAATTTATGAAAGTAATGAATAGAACGATACCTACCTCAAATAGGGACACAGATGATAAAGACTACTGTAAGTTCCACAACTAGTTGGACTTTAAAGGCGAGGAACCAATTCTTCGGGGGGCACCAGGTGCAATTCCGGGATGCTCTCTGGACTCATGGCTATGTACAAGAGGTGAGACTTTGGTGGCGAGTACAATAATTGACAGTAATGGATAGAACGGTACCTTTGGGGCTTAATGCTGATGCAAGGTGGAAAGAAAAGGATGGATGCAAGGTCTGTGTGGACGCGTGTTTAGGTGAGAAGGGGGTAGGTATTGAGGTGGTAAGTTTAGAGTCAAGATGAAAGGACGCTTGAGATGGATGAGAGATGAAGGAAGAAAGATAAGTGTAGAATGAGGTATAGATAAGTATGGTGCTATTGGAAAGATAAAGTGATACAGTATATACTATCATATCTTTTAAGCTGATATAAATAGTTCTCTTGCCTAAAATTGAAATGAGAACTGAATTGGTTCTAAAGCAAGTCACAGCTACTAAAGAGAGCATACAAAAGTGAGACTTCTAGGACCTGAATCGCTTTGATACATGTCTATGAATACTTGCCAACGAATAGATTGTATAGTCGGTCTCAAAGCGTACACATAAAAGAGGTTATTGAAACATACAATGCATCTACTTCCAGTTTCCCTCTAAATAGTTTCAAATTTATTCTAGGAATATCGCTCATTCCCAATTCGCCTGGAGTTATCGAGCAGGAATTCTTGCAAATTCAAACACAGTCTATTTCTGCTCGCTTAAGCGTGAAATTGATTTACCCTGTTCATTTTCTATTTGAAGGTCATACCAGGTCACCCTGCTATGAAAACTTATGGTGTATAAAAACCGTACGAAAGCCTTGGATTTATACAAAGCTTTTATAAGCCTTAAGGGTGCTTTGATTGATTCTGTGTCGGTAAACGGTACCACGCAAACCAAATACGGATACGAGGCGTTTAAGGATGTTGACAAAACTGAAGGTGTCATTCATTTGACGTTTTTTAACGTTTGTTCCGTTTTGTTTATATGGTAATACTAAATTGTAAGCAAAAAATCAGATAAAGAAATTTTTATTCCACAAAGGCTGTTCATTAGAATTACAAACTGGTATTCTCCAGTCTTCCCCTTAGATAATGTCCAACTGAAATTGCTGTATGTAACACAGAAGTGGCCTTGCTGTTTGGAACGCAGGTAGGCTTCTGATTGTCCCTTTAGCTAAAAGGGTTTGGTCTGAATCTTTGAAACGAAGCTGATTTTATAAAAAAACGTTACATTTTAATACAGTGGAGGAAAAGCCAAAACTTACATATGACTTCCATCCTTGCTTCGCTTTGTGCAGACGCAAACGATGGTGCTTCAGCCGATACTTCACATCTGAAGAGGCCCGAGGTCTTCCAACTAACTGAATGAAGTACCACTTTTTTGCTATCTGATTTCGATACCTGAAAGCAAAAATTATAGAGATGTAAACTGTAAATGCAAAATAAGTCTATAACGCATACGTGGCTGTAAAAAATAAAAGCCATGACAATTGTTTATACACAAAAAAATGAAGCATTCCATGTTGACTATTTGAAGAGAAAAGTGAAATTTCCAGCATCCATTATCGTCTGGGGCAGTATGTCATCAAAAGGAGTAGGAAAACTTCATATTGATGGAAATATGGATACAAACAAATATTTGGCAATTTTAGAAGAATCGCGTTTACAAGTGACGGAACAATGTTTGACATCCGGCCAAGATTTTGTGTTTCAGCAAGATGATGCTGCGTACCATACCTCAAAAAAGGCCATAAAATTTATTGAAGAAAATAATGTACCGCTTTTGAAATGGGTTTCTAGCAGTCCAGATCTGTCACCTATTGAAACTTTGTGGCACGAAATGAAAAAGGTTCTACGACAACATCCTGCTCGTACAATCACCGAACTGAGACAAAAGCTTCAAGAAATATGGGATTGTTTTACACCAAATTTTTTCCAAAACCTGGCTAACACTATGCCCCAAAGAATTCCAGCCGTAATAAAAAATAAATGTGATGTTACCCAATGGTAGTCTTTCAATTATTGCTTTGTTAACTTCGCGCATTTATTCGCGCATTGTTTATTTGTTCAGATGTTCTATTAGTTATAGGTCTAAATTATTTCAAATATGTATTTTATACGACCAGAGTGTATCTAAAATGTTTTTGAGAAAATAAATTGTTTTAGAAGTAAATATTTTGGTACAAATCTTGAAGTGGGCCAACTGAGGTGGGAAGGGCCTCGTACATCCGCTTCTCGAGAATTCCTTCCTTAATTGCAACGCGTTTTCTACCGGCGCTGCAGGCCTGAGCTTCCATTGTTTCGTACATAATACTCTAATTGGTATACGTGTAACATTCTTCAATCAATCAGTCAGAAAGGGGATATCTCGGGGAACACGTAAAGGTGAAACCGATTCCAGCAGGCAAGATTTGCACCAAAAGATAATAGATTCACAACCTGTGATTCCTGTGATTTTCGTATACTTTATCTGAACTCACTTGAAACACTGTGAAATACCGGGTGCGTTTTATATATCTATACTTAACACGCTCTGTTGCTGCAAAAATCGCCAAATTTCGCAGCAAGATAAGATCAAAGGCAGTTTCACCGGTCCACGTGGAGTAAAGCACGCCTATGCGTGGACATAGCCAATGAGAAAGCGTGTATTTCAGAGCTCCGAACAAGTGCAGGTGGCTACTGAAAATTGAAACAATTTAACCAGTGCCGTGTAGCGGTGAATAATCGTGTTTTCTTTAGTCTGTCCGTGTTTTTTCATAGATTTTATTAGTTTGTGTTTTTGACTTTTGAATACTCAGTTTACTTGTTGATTTAATTGTTGTGTTGATTGTTCTTGTGTGTCCTAAATATGGCTCTTTGGAGACCTTGGGAAAATGCTCCTAGTCACGAGGAGATGGTTGATGAACCTGTGCAGGCAGAATTCTTTCATAAAGATTTAGAGGAACAGACCCAAAGAGTAATCCTAAATATGTATGATTGTCTGAAAAACGAAAATCCAGATTCCTCGCAAAATCAAATTTTAAACAGAATTTGTATCCTGAAAAAAATCAGTCGGTCTACCATTTATCGGGTTATAAAAAGGGGAGATGTAGTCAACCATTCCTTCCACAGAAAGCGCATAGGGCAAAAATTAAAAAGAATAGACGTGGGTTTTCAGGAAGATATTCATCGTATAATATACGGATTTTATAAAGAAAATTTGGTGCCCACGTTGGAAATGATACGGGATAAATTAAAAGATTATCCTGAAGATTTTTATAATTACAGATGCTTAGACTCACTGCACTGTATTGTAAAACTGTGTGGTTTTCAATACAAAAAATTAGATAAAAGAATGGTGATTATGGAGTCGTCTCGAATCGTTGAATTGCGCCAAGAATTTTTGCACAAAGTTAAAATCTATAGAGAGCAGAAAAGAAATCTGATTTACCTGGATGAAACGTGGTATGATACCAATGATGTTGTGCAGTACGGGTGGGTTGACGACAGCAACAAGTGCATTTTAAATGCACCATGCAACTGTGGAAAACGAATCATTATTCTCCATGCTGGCAGTGAAAATGGATTTATACCTAATGCCTTGCTGTTATCTGCCAAAAATATCAAAGAATCATGTGCCGACTATCATGAGGACATGACCTCCGACTTATTTGAAAAGTGGATAGAGCAGCAGTTAATACCAAACATTTCCCCAAATTCAGTGATTATTATGGACAACGCGCCATACCATTCCCGACAGAAAAACAAAATTCCGAATACAGGCACAAAAAAACAAGACATTATTGATTTTATGAAGGATACGGGAATGGAAATACCACAAAAATCAACCAAAGCCATATTATTGGATCTTATTAAAAGACAAAAATTTGAAAAAGAGTATGTTGTTGACAATCTGCTTCAGCAAAATGGCCATGAAGTATTACGTCTACCTCCCTGTTACTGCATTTTTAACCCGATTGAGTTGGTCGGGTTGCTTTAAAAAAAAAGTAAGAAAACATAATCAGACCCCTCAATTAAGTGAATCGCTATTGGCCACAATAAGAGATGCAGTATCTCATATTGCTGCCACAAACCTATGGAAGCAGTGTTCTAGGCATATTATTGAAAAAGAAAATGAATATTGTGTTTTGCCTCCTGTAAATCCCGTTATAATTCCTCTACAAGATGACTCTAGCGACAGCTCCGAAGGCGAGGATGATATATAAATACCTATAATGTAAGTCTTTATATACCTTTTTATATACCTACCTGCTATGTAAATATTTGCCTATGTCAAACGTTGGAATTCTGTAATTTTTCCATTTCTTAACTTTCAGTCAACATAAATTAAACTCCCAATATAAGTATTTTTTATCCCAAATCAAAAAAATAAGAAGATAGTAAAATCCATTTATTGTGATATAAAAACATTATTATTATCATTCTAAATAAATGACCGCACGCCTATGATACGTCATGAAATTACAAAGGACGCGCCGACCAAAGGTGTTTATGCTATTTCAAGTGACTTCAGATAAAGTATACCTACATATTACTTAGGTGACATATGATGCGTCCAAATTCAGCACGCATATGTATTTCCAAGTCGGTGAACTTGACAACTATGTAAGCCAGTGCTTCATCAGCAATGTGACGGGTAACGCGCTGTCCTGATTGAACGTATCGTTGAGCTCAATAAATCGCTTTACGAGTGCTTGCAAGTTAGTTCCTTATCCTGTGTATCCTGGAGGGTCCGTACATCACATGGTGATCGCGGTAAAGCGTCGTGAAGTGACTGAAACGTGAACGGATTTTTGTGACTCCGAGGAGAACGCGGTTATATTATTCGGACCGCGGCACTCTCGAAAATTCAAACAGCCGATCGCGACAGGCGGCGTTGCCGGGTCGGAAATAATATCCCGGGATCTTATGAGTCGTGTTGCTAACGGTTTGCGTAACAATAAGTGACAATAATCAAGCTAAAACACCGGAGGTGCTTGATTTTAGTGGTTTGCAAGGAGATGTAAAGTACGGTGCAAATATTGCGGCCCACAGCATGACCGAGGTAAGTGCTTTGCTCTAAATCACTATTGCAGTTTTTGTAGTGAATTAGGGACGTTATCGCAAGTATTGTCCGCGAAATAGAAATGTGCGTGTCAATGAGGCCATACAGGACTGCAAATATTCATCTGATGACAGTAAAACTGAGCAAAGTGTCAGTTATGTCTGAAATCAATGCCATTGAGTGACTTTCAGCTGTTAAATGTGTCACGTAAAAGACTGTTCAAAAGTGTTAATTTATTTTCGGTACTGTTGCGTCTTGTGGAACTTCGGATTTTACTGTTTTTTCACTTGAAACTTATAGAGGGTAGTCTGATAAATTATTTTACATCATAAAAAGTGTGGATGAAGCACGCGTTTCATGAAATTTTTTTCCCAAAACACTGTATTTTTTAGCAGTTATTTCCACCGCAATCTACCATATGACACTGACGTCTGTGGATATGTCATGTATGAGAGGCGCTTGCCTGCGGTGTTGCCGGATTGGGCTCCGTATTTAGAGAAAAATATAAAAGTGGAAAATTTATATACATTTATATTAATGAAACACAGAAACAAAAAACTGAAACAAACAACAGTAGTAGAATTAAAAGTGATTCTTACTAAGTATATAACAAAAAATAACAAACAGCAGTAAAATAAAAAGCAATTCTAAGTGATTATAAAAAACAAAAAATTTAAAACAGTAGTAAAACTAAAAACAATTCTATTTAATTATAAAAAAAAAACAAAAAATAACAAACAGTAAAATAAAAGGCAATTTGGATGGAATGAAATTGTTCTTCGTTTCACTACTGTTTTTACTGTTTTTTTTGTGTTGTCACTTAGAATTGCTTTTTATTCAACTTGGAATTGTTTTTTTTTGTTTTATACTACTTTTTATTTTACTGCTGTTTGTTATTTTTTTGATTTTCATAATTACATGGAATTAGTTTTTGTTTTACTACTGTTTTTATTTTTTGTTTTTTATAATTGTCTATGATTTATCATTTTTTAACTTACTACTGTTATTTTTTGATTTATACTTAGTGACCAAATGTGTCTGACAAAACAATAATGAGCCGAAACAGGTACCTAACTATCTTGAAGTTTATTAGATTTTCTCCCCCGGAAGCGGCTAGGGCCCGAGCTCCCATTAGTAGACTTGGCATTTTTATGGCTATGCTAAAAGATAACTGCTTGACCTTAGTGGACCCCAGACCAGTTTTTGCTATTGATGAACACCTAAAGCTTTATAAAGGTAGACTGCATTTTCGCCAATATATAAAAAGTAAAAGAAGCAGGTTTGAAATAAAAATGTTCAAGTGCTCTACATCTGGAATTCGTTAAATTTGTGCTTGGTCCTTTTGTGTCTCGTGTAA